TTCAAATGCTGTGTATTATATTTTCTAAACTGATATGCTATATTGGTATTGTAATTATACTATATACAATATACTGTAATATAGCCTATATATATATATATATATATATATATTAAATTTTATTTATTTCATTCCAAATGATTTATAGTGCTTGTATATAGCTAATTTATAAACTTAATTTGTATACATACTGTGTGTAATATAAATATATAATTATGTATTAAATATAATCTGACAATTACATAATTAGAAAAGCTAAAGTGTAAGGGATACCCAGTTTTCATATACATAATATAATTATATATATACAAACATATACCCTATATATATAATATACTGTACTTCATATGCAATGTAGGCTATTATATTTTCTATTCTGTATATACTATATATTTACTGTAGTTTAACATAATACATATTATATATATATATATACTAAATTGTTATTATTTATATATGTTATTTCTATAATTTATAGTGCTTACATATAACTAATTTATAAACTTCATTTGTATATACATACTCTATAATAGAGTAATGTAATAAATATAAGCTAAATGTAAGTGGATACCCTGTTTTCAGCATTATCTTATTTCAAATCTTTTTCTCGAGCATAAAATGGACACACCCATATTTCATAGTTCATATTTTCTAGTTAATTATGTACCACAATTGTGAAAATATATTTATTAAAAATTCTATCTACTGTATACATGTATTTCATTATGTGTTTTAATTTAACTAACTTTTGTCTGTCTTAACTTAGTTTTAACGGGATAAGTAAAATATTATTGGGAGTTTTAATATATATTTTGCGTAAATTCGATTTTGATATTTGGTTGGTGACCTTTTGACCCCATGTGACATAATTAATCATGCCGTTAATTTGTTCTTTATACCAAATGATAGGAGTTGTTCTATTCTACACTTTATTACTAACAACAAAATATATTCAGTTGATAAAAAGTTGTCAGCATAATGTTACCCCCTAACCTATATCAATAAATGCATTAAATTGACATGCGTATACTCCGTTAGTTCATATTTACTAGTTGATGAATTATCCAAATTTTGAAAATAGGCTTATACATATTTTTCATGACATATAATAATAGACAGATCACTTCACCAGTTTTCAGCATCATAACTGCTATTTAAAGCTAGTTAAGAGCTTTTTCATTCGTGTCAAAATCCATTGGTGAATGCATAATATAGACACTTCCACTTATTTTTGGAGCCATAACTCTGTTGTGTTGAAGCTAAGATGTCCCAATTTTATGTATATATGTATTTTTTTATATGTTTTACTTCAACTAACTTTCATTCATGTTAATTCAGTTTTAACGGGAAAGAAAAACTATTATCACAAGTTTTAATATATAATTTGGGTGAAATTCGATGGGCATCATTGGAAGCTGACCTTTTGACCTCTTGTGACATAATTAACGACGTAATTATATTTTCCTATATACCAAATGATAGGAAATGTATTATTCTACAATTTGATGCTAAAAACAAGAAAATATATTCAGTTAATTAAAAGTTGTGGGCAAAAATGTTATCCCACCCCATATCAATCCTAATATTGAACAAAAAAAGGTACCCATCTTTGATGATGGTTTACATGCACTAGCAACCAAAAATCGCTTGATTAACAAAGTGTTTCTTCAAGCTTATACATATAGGTAACTGAAAAAATAATGACAGGTATAAAGCAGGGGGATTTTCGGAGCCCCCGGACTATTCCTAAATAAACTGACCTGTCGCAAACCGATTGAAGTTGAGGTTCCTGTCTCTGCAGAAATACCAGTGTCTTCTGGGTGTGGAGCAATGCTGGGGGGATGCACCGACACACGTACACCGACGTCATGTGACAACAGGCCAACATACTCCGGCTGCTCAATCAACAATGTTAATCGTAATCCTTAAATCAGTTAAAAAATTATTGTTACTAGTTATTATTATTCTGATTATTAGTCTTATTTTTCTCATTGTTATTATTATTATTATTATTAATATTATTATTGTTATTACGCTTAATTTTACTATCAGGCCTATTATGAATATTATAATTATAAATATTAATATTAGGCATGAATATTATTATCATTATTATTATTACTAAATAAATATTAGGCATTATTATATTATTAATTACAGTATTACTATGATTTTGTTATTTCTATTACGATTAATTACGTAGACAGGAATCAGTGACCTAGGTTAAAATAAGCAGAACGTTTATTCTCTCTTACCAGATTGTTCACCAGTTTGGCTCGTTTCTCGCAGAACATCTCCGTTTGTGCCGTGGTTAAATGTGTAACAATTTCCATATTGCAAATTTTGAAACTGGAGAAAATCTCTAAAAAAAGTCCATAAATGAGTTAATTATTTTTTCAAATATTGTACGGATCATCTAACCCCTAGGATTTTTGCAAGAGGTAGGGAGGTGGTGGGGTGGAGAGCAAATGGTCGTCAAGGACTAATGGCTTGAAGGGCAGTACATATGAGCTGAGAAGGCAGGTTTTGAGTCTTTCTTTACCTTGACGGTCTAGGCGGCTATGATTTCTCTAAGAATTAAAGAAGCATTTTACTCTCTTATCAAAATCATATGCTGCCGGGAAGAATAGCGGCCTACATT